GATGTGCTGGACTCCCAGTACCTTGCATCCCACATGCTATCACTGGCCCATCTGGGGTACCACGACCGTAGGGGGACCAGAGCTTGGGTAGTCAGGAAGGCAAGGATTCAGCGAGTGACAGATAACACACTCAGAAGTGGTTTGAATCTGCTGCAATTTTACTTCTGCAAATCAGTAGTTTATATACAGAAAAGAAAACTATCAAGTCATACAAGGAGCAACAAGAGCTTGGCAATAATTCAATTACATCATCTTTAAAAAACAGCAAGCACACAATTATTAATTGGTGCTAGACATATCCCTTCACCCACAATAACTTTATGACCCAAAGAGCAGTCTGTGTTTTTTAAACTTAGTACATTTCCTAGACTTGTGTAGGCTTCTTGCAGCTGTGTCCTTCATCTTTATCTCAGCCGCTCGCTAGTTTATTATTCATTTTTACTTTTCTGGTTCTCACGACCCACTTAGCCAGTTTGGATGCTGCAGATCCTCCCTAAGTCTTTCTTCAGTTCTTTACCATAAATCTCTTCTAATATAAAACCTTTTTACCTGCTGGAATATGGACTCTTGTACTTTTACACCTGTAAGGGGAAGGGGTTCTGCTGTAGTCCTTAAGTTTTCCATGCTGAACTTCCTCAACAGAGGGGCCCACTATCTGCCTCCTATGAGATAATGTTTTCTGCCATAAATCACTTTAGTTGGGATTCCTAAAGGATTCTTATTGGGTGAGTGTTCATTCCCTAGAAGTGCCTGAACTATTATACTTTCTTTATCTAGTGCCTTGGGGTCTTTAAGGAATAGTTCATTCTGCTATATTTAATTAAGATCCATGTCCAGCTTCCCCTTTCCTCCATAGTTCACAACCCAAGCATTCATTAATTTTGGCTGTGTTTTATAGATTAATTAGAACATTATCAGAAAAGCAGTTATACAGAACCCATAGCCCAGGGAGCTCATGATCTCTGAAGCACGTCTCCTTCAAGAAGGAGGCATAACACAGGCACTCTGCCAGGGACCTCCAGGGAGCTTAGTCCCGTGGGACACGTATCTCCCGTCCGCTATTATTGACATAATTGTTCATGTCACACGGACGACACTGGAGTTGGTGTGGCAATCAGGGACATCAGGGACACAAGGTGTTCTTAGGGAACCAGAGGTATGTGTTACAGTGGGGTTCCGCCCTACCTCACTCCCCCACGGAGTATGACTAAGGAAGTGGGAACCTGTACCCCATTGAACATGAACCCCCTACTGGTGTAGCTCTGAGAAACTGTAGTAGCAAGAAAGCTAACTGTAAAGCTGGGTATGATAGAACACATCTATAATCCCAGCGTTTGGGAAGTAGAGGTGGGCCAGTCGGGGTTGAAGTCTAGTCTCAGTTGCAGTGGGCTTGAGGCCAGCCTGGCATATATGAGACTCTACCTCAACAAAGAAAACAAGAAGAACCCCCCCCCAAAGGGAAAAAAAAGCAAAAAAAAATAATCCTTGTTGTAAGTAAAATGGCCCTTAGAGATGTTTTCCTCCACCCAGGTTCATGAGTATGTTAAAGGCAGAAGAATGTGGGTTTGTATGTAAGTAGATTGGCAAATCAGCTGGCCTCTTGGGATAAGAGCATTTATTCTGGGGTATCACATTGGGCCTGTTTTCAGCATGTGGGTCTTTCACAGTTGGAAGATAAGCCGGGTATGGTGGCACATGCTTGTTATCCCAGCACTCAGGAAGCTAAGGCAGGAGGATTGTGAGTTTGAGTTTGGGGTCATTCTAGATTATATAGCCAGACTCTCAGAAAAACAAACAAACAAACAAAAATGCTAGGTGTTTTAGTCAGAGTTCTCTAGAAGAACAAAACTAGAGGGATGAGAGTGTGTGTGTGTGTGTGTGTGTGTGTGTGTGTGTGAGAGAGAGAGAGAGAGAGAGAGAGAGAGAGAGAGAGAGAGAGAGAGAGAGAGAATTTAATGAGTCAACTTAAAATAGTAACAGCAGGGCCACACCTGAGAGCTGAGAACCTGAGAGTCGCTCAGTCCCTGTGGCTGAGCTGACCCCTTCAGCAGTGGGAGGAGCCCTGCCCCAGACGTCTCTTGTGGGCGTGACCACCAGTACTTGATGCACAGGCCCGGGGCGCAGTAATCCCAGTCTGCTGACAAAAGCCTGGACGGTTCCTGCAGAGCCTCTGGTCCCTCATCCCAAATGAAAGCTTGAAAACGCTGGGTCTGCCGTCAGTGAGGTCAGCAGCCCAGCAACAGGGCAGATCAACTTCATCTGGGCTACCAGAGGGTGCCCAGAGTCTGCCCACGCCAGTCAAGGCAGTCAGGACGGTTCTTCAGGTGAGGCTTCCTACTCAGGTGGTTCTAATTTGTGGCAAGTTGACATTAAAACCAACAGTAATACCAGGCATGTTGGTATACACGAGAGATACAGGCACAAGGATCAGGCGCTCAAGGCCATCTTTGATTACCTAGAAAGTTCAAGGCCAGCTTTAGATACATGAGACCATCTCAGAGCATTGCAGGGCAGAGAGGTGGATCCGAGCAGCTGGCTGGAGTTTCAGGCCTTATGAGAGGCTCAGCTTAGACACTAAGGTAGATGCCCTTGTGACCTTTTCTGTTGCTATGACACAGCACCAAGACACAGCTTAAGAAAGCATTTGGTTGGGCTTACAATTCGAGAGGGCCGGCGTCTATAATGGCAGCAGGAGGAGTTGGGACCTCACATGTGAACACAAGCAGGAGGCAGAGAGAGCACTGGGGATGCTGGGAGGCTTTTGAAGCCTCAGAACCCACCCCACATGACACACCTCCTCCAAAAGGCCACACCTCCTAGTCCTTCTCAAACGGTTCCATCAACCACATGAACCTATGGAGGCCATTTTCATTCAAACCACCATGGAGAACAGTAGAGGAAGACTCTGTTCTCTGGCTTCCACACAACTGTGCGAGGGCACTTGCACACCTAAGTGTGCATATTCACCACACATTCACAAATAAAAGTAGAAGAGAGAACCTAGTGTCCGTGCATGGTGGACACACCTATGATCCCAGCCCTCGGGAGACAGAAGTAGCAGGATTGGTGAAACCTTGAGTACAATCTGGGCTACATAGTGAGTGCCATGTTCATCTAGGAAAGCATGGGGAGACTTTGTCTCAGAGAGGGAGGGAGGGAGGGAGGGAGGGAGGGAGGGAGGGAGGGAGGGAGGGCGGGCGGGAGGGAGGGAGGCAGGGAGGGAGGGAGGGAGGGAGGGAGGGAGGGAGGGAGGGAGGGAGGGAGGGAGGGAGGGAGACCGACTGACCTCCGGAAGAGTCAGAAGTCAGGACAGACTGACCTAGACACAGCTTATTCTGGAAAGGCACAAACATGGGAGAAAGAGAAGGCTGACTGTACAGGGCCCATGGAAAACCGCTTCAGTGTCCACCCTGAAGAGTGGAGAGAGACCCTGCATCTAAAGACACAATATGAGGGCGTTAAAGGCGGTTTTCATCTGTGCAAACACCTCACCAGGCAACAGTTTTGATCTTTGCTTTGTTTCGTGTTTATTGTTTCTTTTGAGATTGAGTCTCGTTTAGCCCAATCCCCAACTCCATTAGTAGAGGGTGACCTTAAAATCTGACCTTCTTGCTCCGTGTGCCAGAGTACAGGCATGCACACATAGCTCAACAGCTTTGGTTTTTAGACCTGGCTGTGCCAGCTCTGCCAGGTGAAGTAGCATGCACCTGTAGTTCTAGCTTTTACAGGAACAGCTTGAGCCCAAGAGTTGGAGGTCGCTTGTGCAACATGGCAAGGCCCTGTCTCACAAGCACATGTGTACGCCTGCCGCACACACAACTAAGAGGTAGAAGGGTTCGTGGGATACCTCTATAGCAGAGTGCTTGTCTAGCAGGCACAAGGCCCTGGTTCCAATCCTTAGCAAAAAAATCAATCTTAACCACCTGTCTCCCAGAGCTTGCCTGTGAGCCTGTAGCTTTGCATTGGCGGTTCCCTGTTGTATTGTTACATACATGTCTTTTTCCATATCTCACCTGGTGACTTGTAGTTGAGCGTCCTCAATCTGCTAATGTTGAGGGACCAGCTGGAGCTCAGACTTGACTGCTGCAGCCTATAAACATGGAACTTCCACCCTGTAGTTCTTTCCTGGTAGAAGAGATGCCCGGGGACAGGTTTCTAGGACTTCGGGAAAGAATGGGCCGATTTCATGGAGCAGTGACCTCCAGTGAACTGTCTCTGGTGTTTCTTTCTGATCTAGACCCGATCCCCAAAGGGCCTGCTTCTGCTGAGACGACCGAGGTTTACCCCAAGAACGCGAGCCTCCGAGCCTATCACCAGAAGATTGACAGCAACTTAGGTAAGTGTGGGAGCCGCAGCAGCCTCCAGTTTACACTGAGCACAGCCGCTTCCTGGCCTCCTCGACGGGTCACACCCACAGCGTCACACCCACAGTGTCACACCCACAGCGTCACACCCACAGTGTCACACCCACAGTGTCACACCCACAACATCACACCCACGGTGTCACACCCACAGTGTCACACCCACAACATCACACCCACAGTGTCACACCCACAACATCACACCCACGGTGTCACACCCACAACATCACACCCACAACATCACACCCACGGTGTCACACCCACAACATCACACCCACAGTGTCACACCCACAGCGTCACACCCACAGTGTCACAGTGTCACACCCACAGTGTCACACCCACAGTGTCACAGTGTCTCACCCACAGTGTCACACCCACAGTGTCACACCCAGTGTCACAGGCCACAGTGTCACACCCACAGTGTCACA